TTTGCGCTACAACTTGATGCAGTATAGAAATCTGAAGCATAGACTTCTACAGACGGGCATTTGGTTATTGGTGGCATACTAAATTTTCTGTCTTGATACTAAATTATTTGCAGAAAAAGAATTTGTCTTAGGAATGGCATTTTGGTTCCTCGTACATGATTCATGGTATGTAGGATAGTACGTAAAAAAATTGAAACCATAGAAGTTTTTATGCATACTTGTTATGGTTAATTTCGAGAGCATTTGTACTTAATGTGATTAATCTGTAGACTTGGTCTTTAGTAATCGAGTGAAGGTTTACAAAGGGGATATGGTCGGTTCTAGGATGGAAATCTTCATATTTGAGGAACACTATTGAGTCCTGCTTCGCTAGTCCAATGGTATTCTGGTGCTCCTGGTGAGTAACATGTGTTATCCCTGAAATTGTCTTGATTCACATTTGTTTGCATCTATTAATGTGGAGATTTGTTTTATATTACAAACTATAAGATTACCATTATATGAATGTAGATATGAAAGCTAGCCAATAAAGTCTGTAAAGCTTCGTACAATTAGATTCGTACAATTTGCAGATTATCGAAGTATTTAAGACAATGTATTTTTTCAAATGCACTGTCAAACATCTGATCTCAAGCTTTATCTGAGATAAAGTGCGAAACTAACTACCTGAGAATATTATCTCCATAAACCCAGTACATGAGATAGTAATTACACATCTCATCGTCACCCGTGTTACCCATAACAAACTCTTTATCTTCATTGTTATTCATTACGCAACGGGATGCAATCTGTCAAAGCATGAAATGATCTTATTCTTGATTACTTTATGAGGTGGCAAATTTTTTTCTGCTTCATCATTTTTCTCCTTTCACCTTTTCGCTAACTTGCATATTTTCAAGTAATAGAAAATTCTCACTGGTCATTTAATCAACAAAATATGAGATCGGTCATTTTCTTAATCTCGAAAAGTAAATATTATTGGTTCTATGATGGAGGTGAACAAATTGATAACCAACTATATCGCCTTGACGAATGGTAATATTTTTAGCAACTGGTTGGAATGTTTGTGGAAGGAGCGGATTTCGTTGACCAATAAGTTCCCAATGATTCTTGCCATACTGGTCTTCTCGTACAACCCAACCACTGACCTTTGACATAAACTTTATTGAATCTACTTAATTAAAAAATGAAGATGATGTAGAGGTTGATTTTCTCTACAAAACCAATCTTCAGTTTAGTATGATTAATAATTGACTACACATCAAGTGGAAATTTATTTTGAAAGAAGTATAAGTTACTTCTTATAACTACAGGTAGTAATTATACTGTAACGTTACTTCTTGTAACTACAAGTAGTAACTTATACTTTTTCCAAAACTGCCATAATTACTGCAATTATGGAAGAAAGATAAAAGTACGATATTTAATTTTGTTACCATTACACCATGGCGATGCGTATGTGTACGAAATGCAAAAGGATGCAGTTCAATGTCCTCATCGACAAGACATGCCGCTTCGAATGATTCTAAATGTTTCATTTATTCCTTTTTTTGTTTTTGTTTTTACAAATAGACAAAGAATGCTTCTGTAACAAGTGTTGGCACCTTTCTTATGCATTGCTAACTTTCCACCGGTAACCATAAGTAAGGTAGATGCTCGCTTTGGTAATGGTTCAACTGTTGATTCGATACTTACACCGGAATAATCAAATTTCAATTTATTCATATAATGCACTTGCAGTACCAAGTACTGAATATTTGTGTTACCACCAACTTTGAAGCCAACTCCTGTAATTCAATGCTTACGCAATTTCAAATCATTTCATATTAAGTAGCAAATTGTGATTGCTCTATGTCGTATGAAGTGTGCAAATTAAGCAACAGATTCATTTAATTAATTTACGTGAATGTCTATTGTTGATTTTTAAAAAATAAAATTTTGAACTGATTAGCTTATAAACTGGGCTTAAGTAATTACTGAACAGTACCTTCAGGAAGGTATAATTCGGGTGCATCTCTACCCCAAGCATATATAATACTTGGTTGATTGTTACATACTGGAGCATGTTCAAAATCTGGCCCAGCAATTGTCATTTCTCCACAATCCCTAAAATTTGAATGATTTTGAGAATTGATATATTTTAAAGTAATAGTTGATTGTAAATTCATAATTTTCCTTAACAATAATAATTAATATGTAACGTAATTGAAAAGCTACTTGAATTTGTAGTCATTAATTTTACTTTTCGTTTGCTTCCCAAATAATTACATCAAATTTACCTTTTTGATTCATAAACCAAATAATATAATAGCGTGCATACAAAATTTTACAGATAAATTTGCGCATTTTTATTTATTAAAGTAAATTAAATTAATAGTGAAAGCAGAAATGGTAGTAAAGAAACATTACGGCGACAAGTATTAAAATGTACTAAGAAATGTTTTCAGTATTATGGAACTAAATTTATAGAAATATCAAAAAGTGAAACAAAAATTTATGCTATATTCAATATTTGCAAACTGTAAAAGAGCTATTCTTTGAATCAGAAATTTTTTTGAACAAAATTTGTAGATATTGAATTGGTGTGACTGACTGTCATACTAAATGTATGGTAGTCAGTAAACACCAATTTTAGTGGGTTATGTGCATCTGTCTAGCTTTTATTTAAATTTTATATTTCAATTATTTATATTTTTTAAAAGCTCACCAAATAAGTTCGTCACTGCCTGGTTCATAACAACCAAATAACAGCATGTGGTGAGCTGTATGCATTGTTGCAAAAGGTTTGAATCCAGCTAAAATAATATATATACATCTTTAATACCAACGAAATATCTCTTATTTTAATAAAATTATTTAAAAAAATTATTAAATACCATTGAAACTGTTTAATAAAAAAAAAAAACGAAAATTGGAATCATTACAAAAAATTTCTGTACATGTAAAAAAGTAAGTTTTCTTGCAAACAAATTAAATTTTTGCATAAATTGAGTGCAGTACTTACTTAGGTAATGGTTCATACTCATGTCAACTGGGATGGCTGTGCACAGATAGGAATCATTCTAAAAATACAAGCTTAGTCTTAATTAATAATAATAATGTAAATTAAGAAAGAAATTTTAATTATTTTTTCAAAAATTGTACTGATAAAAGTTACAAATGTTTTCAAAATTTGTCGTTACAGAAATCATTTGTAGTTTCTTTTTTACAAATTCAGTGTATATCTCATTTGTTAGAAAATTTGGAAGAAAATTCTGCCATAACAAAGAATATATTCACAAGTTTATTGTAGAGAACGATGGACTGATATTGAAGACAGGTAAATTGAAGGATGTTGTCTTGAAGTATAAAATAAACGAAAGTAAGTAATGCAATACTTTACTTTCATATATTCAAAAATTAATTAATATCTAACGACTGATTAATTTTTCACTGAATTTTTTTATTATTAAAAAAAAAATTGAGACATGTTATTATTTAATAAAGTAACTGCAATAGAAATAAATGAGAGTAACAATAATTTCAATAATTGAGCAACGAGAATTCTTAAGATTGATGATGACAAGATACAGAAGATGCAATTAAGAGTAAGAATCTTTTATTAGAAAAGTTCAACGAAAGTGAGACAAAAAACGAAAAAATCTTTCAGGTCAAACGTTATTTATGATTTGGATTAAACACGAAATTGATGAGTGTACTGACTAGTATTGGTGTGGCTCCAGGCATCCGTAATTCGGTTACTTCACTGAATACTACTAGGTGAAACACATTCAGCGTAGATAACGTGAAAAATAAAAGCAAAAATTTAATGCAATTCACAGACAGAAACATTCTATCCGGCTATAGTGAAAGCAAATATATCTTGATGCAGACGACGCCAATAAGGATGTTGATGCCTTAGGCCTAGTTGTGACGTGAGTGCTTAAGGCTTTATTTGCACTTATTGATCTTAGCCTTGCCGACTTCATTGTAAGCATTATATAAGGAGGCTTCTAGCAGACTCGAAACACAGGATTATTTCCTCTGCATGATCAGATTTATAACATTATGCATGTTCCATGACATCACTACTCTGACTTCCATGTACCGAGATATCCAATGGCTTCTAGCAATTAAATGCAAAAACGATGTACAAGCTTAAGCTCTCCATTTCGTCATGCTTGAATGACGATCACAACGCATAGCTTGACGTGAGGTAGGCGTGGAACATCTGCTGATTTATTTCAATCACCAATGTGCCATTTTTATTCTAACTTTGAAATTTACGGCTAACAAAATGCATAGAAGTATGCTTACCATTCGAACTCCATGTACTGCTACCATTTATAATGAAAAACATCTTATTTAAGTCACAAATGAGTAGCAATTTCATTTTTAGACGCTCAGTTATGAGCAAACATAAAGTCAATATGAAACTGAATTTCTTTATTTTACTCTTTTCAGGGCAAAAAACTTAATCTCATAAATCCAATTTCAAAAACAGATATAAACAAGACATCAGACAGAAGTAACAGAATAAATTATTCAAATTTGAATCAACAATATTCTTTTAAATGCATATCAAATAAAAACAATCTTTGGCATACGGCATTAATTATACCAATATATGTACTCAATTATTATGGAAGTTCCACGTAATCAAAAAAAATATGAATCGTGGCAATAAATAATTGAACTGAAACTTAGGGCTTACTCAATTTTGAGGAATTTTAAATAGGAGAGTCTTATAAAAAAGAGCTAGCATTTTTTATGACTAATTTACTAATCAGTTTCAAAACTTTTCAAAGATTTAAGCACAATTTCGAACAACTCAATTCCTGATATTTCATATGAAATAAGATTACATTGAATATTGCACATACGAAATTATTAGGAGTGTCAGTTTTGTATGCTTTTACCAGTAAAATGTTTAATGAAATACATTCCAAAATATATTACTAGACATGAAATATACCACTGATGAAGTTCACAAATCGCTGAAACGCAAATGAACTGGTGAACATAAATCTCCGAGCTGAAAATTACACACCATTAAATCACAACCTCAATTCTAAGAATAAATGTTCCATGTTCTATGAATTTCACCTTTTGACACTGAGCTGCCTTTAAACGCATTAAAGTTGAACGAAAATGAGCTCGAATACGGGTTTCATCATATTCACGACGTCCGAACGGATTATTACATTCAGACGCTCCACATCTGCATGGGAATGCCGGTCTATCCACCTAAAAAACTGGTTACTACAATGTTTATTAAGCGATAAGTACATATTCCAATATGCTTCGTGTTTCTCGAACAAATAGAATTTTTATCTGTATGAGAAAGGTTTAATTCTCAAAACATATTGTAAAACGAATAGTCTATTTAAAAATTTATAGCATGAATTTCATAGAGAGAAAAATTTACGTGATATATTTAATTCATTGAAATATGGAAAAAATAAAATAGTACCGATAACGAAAACAATCTCACCAATTCTTACTTCCTTTATTTTCTTCATAAGCAAATAAGAAGATAACTGATTTAAATTTTAACAGTATCAATCTGCAGTTTACAACTACTTAAAGAATTCTGAGCAGGAAAAAATGCTTTTGCAGAGATAAATTTCACCAAACATTCGATTCCATTCAAAGCACATTCACATGTTTCAGGCAGGCAAGGAGATTTGCATGAACAACCACAGCGTTTTCGACTTCTACGTATGTTTTTACACACCACTTTTTCGTTCTTCAAAGCAATATTTATAGTTATTAAAATAATTTTTCGAAGAAACGCATCAAAAAAGTGACATATTTGGTAAGTGCGACTGAATCCATTAAAGTTATAAACTACGTCAAGATTTCAGAAACAGTTCGTCAACCATGCTAAATCGTTTTCAGCATCGATGGCAGTAATATTACTAGTATATTTGAATCCAATAAAAGATGAACCTTTTCGAAATTTTTTAGACCTGCATTTCGCAATTTCAACAACCTGACTTTCCGATCAAGTGGCAGAAAATACTTTTTTGTTAGAGAAATATTATGTTCTTTCATTTCTTCCTAAAAAGGTTTTATGATAGTAAGTAAAACACATGCATTTAGCGACTTTTATTAATAAGCAAAACACCTGCAATTATCTTCAGTTAACTTTGATAATAAGAAATAAATACATTCTCGCTAAGCTGCAGGTCTTCTAGTAATTCATCATCTATTATAATCTCTTCATGATTTTCAGTTACTGTAATTGGTGGCTCGAATTGCATATCCATTTTCTTTTTATCCTCTGAAAACTGTACCCCCGTTTTAACAAATACTTTTTAACAACAAAAACATCAAATAAAACATGCTCGTACCTACAGTGATGCATGATTTTTTTTCTGCAATGAAATTTTCGTCGAATTCAGCACGGAAAGAACGCTTGCGTGAATCAGGCAACTTCAAAGCTTGCTGAACAGAAATTTTAGAGTGGTGATTAGTACAGAATAGGAAAAATTCATGCAGCGAATGAATTAACTAACTGAAACAGAAACTACGATAAAAAGAGGAGAACACTACTTAGGGAACAAGGATAATGAGGATGAATAAACCTTTCTTGGATCAAAATTGTTATTACTGTTACAAAGTGGAATGTCAAAAACTTCAAAGTGTTTACTGTCCATACCTACAAAAAAATATTACAAAATCATGTGCCAATCATCAAATGCATTTAAATGCGATAAAAAATTCGAGCTGCACACGCCAGATGAATATTCAAAATAATCTAGAAAAAATTCAGCAAACAAACCAAGAGCAAAGCCACCAGTTGCAGGAACAACATCAAATCCTTGTCTCCTTTCAAACAAATAAACTTTCACATTCTTGAATCGTACTACCTTCTTGTGCCTGGAAGAAATTTCTTCTACAAGTTCTCCAAAACTCTATTTTTAATAATTCATGACTTCCAAATTTTTGAAATCCAGAACCACATCAATGTTTATAGTAACGTTGGATGGGCAAAACAAATCAGCACAAAAAAGTCCCAAAATATATTGATACACAGAGTCACAAGTATTGTGAGTGATCTCTGAAAGTTCACGAATTCGAGTGCTTACTCGAATACAATTTCATTCTTTAACTTGGTGGCAAAGTCACAATTTTTAAGATTTTATTTCGCACTTATACAATAAATTTAAAACAAATAATAATTCAAATTGTAAAATGGAAACAAAATCATTACAAAGTAATAAAATGCTGAAGTTTTGAAAACATTACTCATTAACATCATTTTTGTTCTCAATATCTCCAGTTAACTCCAAATTTACACTTCGTTCACAATCATCATTCGAGCACTGACCATCCATTTAAATCTTCCTGAAGAAATTAATATCAAAATTAGCAGAAAAAGAAAGCTGAGCTCAAAATCACTCACAATCACTTCCAGAGAAAGTAATCGTGCAGGAAACGCAGACTTCAGATCACAAGAGTTAGAATACGACCTTGTAACAATCAACAATGCACTAGATGCAACAATTACGTGCATACATACCACTTTGCAAAAATTTGAAAATTGTCGCAAGTTGAATCCCATTTTAAAAATTTGCTTTTCGCGACATGAAAGGGCAGATTTGATTTCCGACCTGTTCTTGTAAATGGCCTTAGATTATGTTCATGGTTTGATCATAGGGTGAGTGATCTTCTCTTCCATGTTTAATAAACCATAAATGTGAAGAAAGATAGTTCGATTTGATCTTTGAAAAACATTTCTGACTACATAAGATTTCAGCTTATGAAAATCCTTATGACCTTGAAGTAATTTCTAACTAGCTTGACTTCCGAACCGCATTCTCTTTTGTTTTCAAGTTGTTGCTGTAGTGAGCACTTATGGTTTAACCGGTGGAAATGGTCACAATGTTTGTAAAACAAATATTGCAATTAATTTTGCAAAATTTGAATTTCTTGACAAATTATGATCAGTCATGTTTGTGTATGATTAGAACAGTGGGAAGGATTATAGATTTGACGCAATTATAAGTTGTGTCAATTGCTTTATTTTTCAAGCGGTTTCAATGCATACTTATTTACTTAACTTGCATAGTCAATTACTGTACTTATAAAATTACCGTTGTACAACGAAGAAATACGAAAAAATTTAGATTACTTTTTTTATTTCTTTAGATTTAGATTAAAAGCGCTGATAATATTTATTTCTGTCTCGAAGCATTCACTTGACGCTAATTTTGTAAAAATGAGTCAAAATTTTTAAATTACAATTAATAAGAATGCATTTGTAACAAGTGCTATATCACAACATCATCGTTTTTTACGTGGCAATTCTGTTTCTTCGCATACATATGTCTTTATTCTTCACGTAAAGATACTGTCAGCAAACCCGTTTTTTCTGGTGTACTTTGAGGTACTTCTCCGCTGTATACAATCAGATCATCAATTGATATCTGTACAGATAAAAAACTCTATCAAATTAGATTTTAATGTAGATAAAAGCAGGCTGTTCTAAAGTACTAAGTTTATAAATTTATGAAAATTTCGAAAGTAACTGATCACATTTCTTTATCATGAATTTATTATATGAAAAATGATGGTCAGTTATTATAATGCTTTTATTACTGAACTGCCAATAAGATACAATTGAAATACAAACGCTAATAAGACGAACTCCACGCCATGATGTCTTACGGTAGTTGTATACATTTATGCGTGATACATATGTTGGAGCGTCGAATATTACAAATACACGTGCGCAACGATTCGGCAAAATTGGTGTAAGCCACATATGTGATGGGCTGTATATTTCAGCTTATTCACTTTTATTCTTTAGAATCTGTTACTTTCACTTATCATTTTCTCTTTCAACATATTTATTACGTTTTATTCTTATTAATTGTTATTTATTACGACATTTTTCGTTCTGAAGTACCATGTTCGGTACGCTAAAGTATGTACATTTACAATGTTTTGAAGTATTCACTGACCTTACATGATTAGTACCTGCTTTTTCACTCTAATACATTGCTGAAGAACTAATATCAATTTTTGAAGATTTATATATTAAATCTTTAGAATGGCAAACTTTTCGGTATCGTTGTAGCCATCTATAAGTTTATCGCTTGTACGTTGGTCGTTGCTAACATTAGGTAATATATTGACACTTTCCGGAAATGCTGCCAAATCTATAACAATTTTTGAGCTTTTGTTTGATTTGTTCACAAAATTTATTCATATTTTGTTTTCAAACATCGCACTGTTGTTTTAGTTTCATTCTGTAATGTAAATAAACGTCTATTTTTTTCGAAAAAGATATTGAATCGTCTTTAATATTTAAACTTTCTTTCAAACCAACAACTTCCTGCAAATTATTTATTGCTATCAAATAACTGACTAATGGTAAGTTCTTGATAGAATGAAAGTAAACTTTGTGGGAGAAGTTTGATTAGTTCTTCGTGATGATCGTAAAATTCTATTCCATTGAGACCAATGTAGTATTCATCGCCCCACGTAGAGTGAAGTTGTAATTGATAAGTAACTGTAAGAAATTTTGAAAGTAACAAAAACTACAGCTTATAATTCAGTTTACTTAGTTTAACCAGAAACTGAGGAATGAAAAGTGATTGTAAAGAAGCTCTAAAATATATTTTTATTGCTAAAAATTTCATTTTAAAAGTTTGTAAAGGGTTTTTTAAGTGTACTGAATTGAAATAAATTATATTTTGTTAGTAAGAGTTATTATTGGTCTTTTATGATTATTAATTACATATTAATTCTCACCAACAAATTTTTCTGTTCAATAGTATTATTTAATTCTATTAATTGTAAAATGGTATTAAATGATTTTATTGAGCAGAAAAAATGTTATTATTATGAACTTTTAAAAAATCATTGTTTTAAAAGTTTTCATTACTAACATGCAAGAATGCAATCATTTTCTGGTCTGGAAACAGGTCTGTACAAAATACATTTGTTGAATATAATATCTTGAACATAGTCGAAGTAAATAAATCCTGCAACATCTATATTACAGCCTTCATTGCAAATACATAAATAAATGCTAGTTTTCAAGTAGAGGAATAGATCTGATAAAAGTTAACCTCAGAATCTAAAAAGTTTTAATGAATTTTTTTTGAAAATTAGTTCAAGATCTAGAAAGTAGTCTTCACGTACTATTTTATTAACTAAATTATGAGGTGACTGTCAAAACTTCATTTCGACTCATGACATGTCAAAAAATGCTTTAGTAAATGTTGCAATTTATAATAAACTATAGAACACTCACAACTGCGAAAACATTTTCAAATAGATTTTTCAGACTTTATTTTAGTATTGTGATAAATTCCATATTTTTGTGAACAAAGAAGAGATATTTGCAACCTGGAGCTTTTCTCAGCAATATGGGCCCTGGAAGCGTTTTACCATTTACATAAAGTTGCATACTTCGCACTCCAGCGTATGACATTTCTGGTGAAGCATTATAGTTCCACACACAAATACCTGTAGGAAAAGCAGTAAAATTGAAGCACAAATTACATCAACTTACTCTAGCAATGAAGTAAGTTTGTAGCAGAAATTAAAAAAGAAAAAAAATGCAACTTAAGTAGTATTTGCTGCGTAGATTCTGAGAAAGTTTTCAGTTACTAGAAATATGTTGTAAATGGATAATTGTGAAGCTTAAAAAAACTACTTTATACACGAGTATGAGTGCTACCTGAAGCGATGATAGGCTCAGGAAATGTTATTGTAACTCGTACAGGTGGAGAGTAACGTGAAAAAGGTGTAAGCCACATATCTTCTCTACTTCTTGTTAGATTCTTCCCATTTAATAGCCTTAAATTTGTGGATTTATTTTATCTTTGCCAAATTCATCGTACCAAATTACATTTCTTAATAATTTTCAATTTAATAAATGCTATTTTGTCACATTTTTATTCAGTTCTTCACTGCCTTTGCTAATTTGCTAAAGAAAAGATTATAAAATTTTACGAATTGAAATTTTTGACTCAATCTTCTGTAAATAATTAAAAAAATATCAATGCTGTAAATAAGCAATAAGTTTATACATTTTTCTGCACGGTATAAAGTGACAGTGATAAAAATCATCTTACTGAATACGGATGCATTGAAATAATGTAACCTTAGCATGAAGTGGTATTCATTCATATTAATTATACTGGGATTTGTGCGCTATTAGTAAAGTAAAGTAAAAGTAAATCATGAAGATACTGCGAAGCGAAAAAACCTGCGTGAAATATGTGCTGCTGTAGAGGTTGTTATATTGCAGTTCAAATGACTGCAAATAGTACCTTGTGGACCAAAAAACTGTAGTCCGGTAAGACCGATGCAATCAGGAGCACCCCAGTTTTCCAGAAGTTCCATATGAAAAACTAAAGGTATTTTTGAGACAATAAAAGTTGAATTTGTAATTATATATATAACAAAACTGGGTTGTAAAAGGAAGAAATAGTTTTTGTATTTAAATGGAAACATATTCTGCTGTAAACTTTCCGGTTACTATACACATAATTTACATGCATTCAATATCATATGGTTCTGCATTGAGATATACCGATTTCTATTGAGGTTTCGAAAAGACTTTGAAAACCTGTTTGGTTCCAAGAATAATATGTATTTCCCTATGAGGTACGAATAAATTCTTGAGCCTTATTACTTATGCTGCTATAGATATTTACCAGATTTATTCTCAGCTCTTTTTATCTCACTACTTTATTCAATAATTTTTTTTCAAGCATTCAAATAATGTGGATTATTTGTTGCTTTTTCCGACGAACTTTTATTAGATATAAAATAATTTGAAAAGTCTTTAAAGATATTTTTTTAAAATACCTTTTATTGAGAGAAACGCAGCGTCATCTCTTATTGAATCATTTTCTGAGATGGTTTCTTCTTGATTTGTTCTTTTAAATGAATTAATCGTTGAACTGGAAGAACTTTCATTATTACTTCCATCACGATCGATCGTCTGTTGATCACGATCACAATCAGCTAAGCATGTTAAACTGTGATATTGTGATTTTCGATCCCCGGTGCTTGGTCTGATTGCGTCTGTTGATGTAATTGATGTTCTTGAAACTGGTAACGATGACTCCATTTGAACATAACTTGCTCGTGCTTCTTCGGAAATTAGATTACAGTTAATAATTTCTTAAGCTTTGATTTATAAAAACATGCCTCTAAAAATAAGTAATCAAAAATTTTTAATATATTAGACTCAGTAAAATCATACTGATCAAAACTATACTGTGAATGGTATCTTTATTTTTTTGGTGTGAACTTTAGAAATTGATGTAAACTAGAATATAAAGTCAACAAGTGAAATGTCATCAAATGATAATTTTATCCAATATTTAGAGCTCCATTTACTTTTAACTGTAATTAATAATGTAAGCATAAGCATCTTTTTCAAATAATGTAAATAAAAAAACAGCAGAACTTATAGACTTATTATCAAAAAACCTGAGAGCTCATCAGCCAGCTGATGAAGATCCAAAGCACTGCGCATCATTTCATGCGTGCGCAAGCATTTATCGTTCTCCGCAATTAATTCTAATATTGTTTCATCCGTTGTGAATAAAATTGTCTAAAAGATTAGATAGAAAGCTAATTTTAGCTTGTATTGACTAAGTTACCCAAATTTGGATCATTGCAATACTTTCTTTTTTTAGATAACTATAAGATTTCGGATAAAGATGTGGGATTAAGTTTCTTTTATTCATTTAATGAAGTTTTATTTTTCAAAATAAGTGACGATATTGTGATACTTTATTCCAATCACTAAATTATTATTATTATTTTAAGCGATCATTAAAAATGCATAAATTTATAATGGAATTTATTGGTCATAAAGAAATTCTTATCAAATTTTGACGAATTTTAGAGGTTAAAAAAAAACAGCTCAAATATGATTTTTTTTCAAAGTCAAAAATTTGTTCATAAAAAATTCTGCACTAACATCAACCATAGGTTCTTCTTTGCTGTCAAACGTAAATGCGCAAGAAATCTCGCCCTGAAATATCATCCTGCTATCCAAATCAATTCGAAGATCATGTACTCCACACAATGCATGAACACGTGATTTGTTATAATTCTATAAAAGAATCACTTTCGATGATTTTCTAAAAATTACTTTACAATAAAAGTGATTTTTTTATTTTTCAAAGTTTTCAACCATTTCATGATGTTTTTATCATAAACAGTTCTTGGTAATTTTAGCGTGTATTGATTAATTACCCAAATTCGGATCATTGCAATACTTTCTTTTTTTTCCAAGCAAATTTCAATGTAAACCGGTTCGAAAAGATCATCATATCTGTAATTTTGTGTAAAAATGAGAACAATTTTGAAAAATCATAAAAACGAATATAATCCATAAAATCAACATAATTCAGATCTTTAGTTGAAGTATAATCAAATTTTGATGCTCTCACCAATATTTTATTTCCAGATTTTTCATCTCTGAAAAAAGTACCTGGCAGACCACATTTTTCCAGGGTCATTAGTGGATAAATCAGCATCTCTGCTCTTGAATACATTATCCAGAGAGCCTTGCGTTATTTTTGCGTTTGTTTTCATCTGAAAATTTTGATGCTACTTTAAATTTTAATATTAATAAGTAAAATAACAGCTCAAATTTAGTCAAATTTGAACATTTTGATTGTATTTTCATATTTAAATCGATGTTTTATGCAAATTTCGTCTTAATTAACTCATTTATTTGACCTTACTGTTATGAAAATTTAAACCAAATGACGAGCTCAGCAAACAATTACCATCGATCATGTTGCTTGCATGAAGTTTTTTGCAATATAAATAAATGAATTAATTAATGATTATTAATTATAAAAGTGGATTAAATAGTTTTTACGTGGAACTAATTTCTTATAAAATAAAATATAAAACTAAAAGCGACAAATGTTGCTGCTGCCTACTTGATTAATTTCTGGTTGTTCACCAAATACATTAAACAATTCAATAGTATTGATTCCGATGAAATGAGGATCATCCCATGAAGTATACAGAACGAATCTGAGAACTTGACCTTCAGGAAGTTCAGGAATTGAAAAATCGGACCTGAAGTTAAGTACAGACAAAACTGATTAACATAACTTTCAAGATCTGGAAAGCAAATTTACTACTGAAACTTCATTCCAGTTAGTTGCTCAATTTTTTTCTTCTTTGGTTAGAAACATCAACTTTAATAGTTAGCAATATGAATTACGTGAAGTGATTTTAAGTAAATATTTGTATACATACGCTTCTTCGGATCCATTAGATTCCGATATATTCATTTTCATGCCCATTTTTGCCATTTTCACTGCGCTCTTCTTAGCTTCATATAAACAAAACCTTTATACAATCTAATTTTATCAATTTTTGTAAAATATTAAGATTTATTAAGCTGAACAAAAGATTATTAATTACGATTTCGTTTACAATCTAAAACCTTTCTTTAAACCAAAAAGTATCAGAAGTGAACGAAAGATTGCATTCTATGGATATTTTTGTTTAACATTGTTCAAAACAGTTTCAGACCAAACAACTTCAAAATACTGAAGAAATAAGATAAATCTCAGTCATTCTCAAGTTTTAGTCATTTCTCATAGTAGATATTTGCTACTATCCTAATATTCTTGTTACAATTAGAAGGATACAAAAAAATAAAGTTTATGACGATTCATCATCTTAAGATTTTTATATCCGCGCATATTCGTAACTTCATAACTTTCCCTGTCTAAAAATCTTAACCAATTTTTTTAACTTCATCAAATTAACTTCTTATTAAGCGAAAATTGCTTAAACTTGATCTAATCATTATAGGTAATAATTATTAAGATAAAATTTATCAAAGCTTACTTAAGTATTACCTCAAGTATTAGGTAAAACATAGCTAAACTCATGTCAGATATTATTCATTCATGAGAGTATAGCTTGTTTCCATGGAGACATTAATCTGAATTACCTTCTTTCCATTTAACTCTTGTTGCTAGAAATCGTGAAAAAATTCTTCCCATATTTCTTTTATTTACTCTTTCAATCTGCTCTGATAGTACAATTATAGCATAACAATAACAAAACAAATGTAAAAGTTGCAAACAACTCCATCTTTCTTATTAATAAATGAAATGCATACAAGGAAATAAAGTCTGTGGCAGTTCATCATCTTAAGATTTTTATATCCGCGCATATTCACATTTACAATATTTCTTACAAACGTGAATTTCAGACTTTGTAACGTTTCTAACAAACATTTCCTTCGCAAAGTGGTCGCACATATATTCTAATGAATGGTTCTTCATACACTTCCGTTGTATTCAATTGTTCTAATGTTTCGATTACTGTTTGTCGCTGTTCAAATTGTGAATCTAATTTCTGATCCATTTTCGTGTCTGACTGATTAAGCACATTATGCATCGCTTCGGTTGCTTGCTTGCTAATCTAAAAATTGAAAGCGATTAGTATAATACTATTTTGAAAATAAACAAAATTAACTGATTGAATTAATAACTTAAATCGCAATTAATTTTTGCTCTGATCAAGAAGTAATCAATTTCTTGATTTTCTTGCAATGAATTATCAATTTATACTAACATAGAAAGATGATAGTATTGCAAATTATCAGATGAAAAAATTTATATTCTGACTTACCTTTTCAGCCAAATCTTCATTGCTCTTAATAACTTTGTCAGGGAAGTCAGGGGTCATTTCATTCGAATAAATGACTGGTTGAAGTGCTAATTCATCCAAACTTTCTG